GCTTGTAACACCCTTGTAAGGGATCTTGTAAAGGATACATACAGAAAAAAAATCAAATACCCGTTTAGCTTAGTATTTTTCAGAGTACGAGCCCGGGAGTACGAGGTTCGCTCCTGCTAAAATTATTAATAAGCTTTGGTTGATATTTATATCTAATCGTACCTTTTTGGATCGCTTTAATGGCATGTCAGGCGAGTTTAAAAAGTCGAGTCATGGTTGGTATTTTGGCGAGGCGAGACGTATTCTATACAAAACCCATGGCGAGACCAAACGAGCCTAATATACCGGTGAAACGCACCAAAGAAAGGTAGCTTAGGTATTTACCGTAAATAAACTCGGTCTAAGCGATTGATAACAATAGCCATATGAGGTTAGTGACTTGATATCCCATGATACCAGGGTGGTAAACACGGCTTCTGATTGGCTAATTTGGGTAGGGCAAAAGGAACTACTCCGTCATTGGGGGATACTGAGATAGCGTAGATAACATTCTTTTCCTTCTTGTCCGAGGGTATTCCTTATGCATGGATAAAGCACAAATAAATTTCTTATTCATGTGAAGATTAAAGATCCCGAGAGTATTTCCGGTCGTACAACACATTTTTGTCAATGCAGTCCCCTCCACATAGACGTTAATTGGTGCAAAGATATCCCTTGATGCCCATTGCATGTTCATTTAAGGTTTCCGCCAAGCAAAACGAAGACAGGATAGGACCTGCCGCCTTGAAGGTGATGAGATCGCTCGCACTCAAAATTTTAATTATTAACCAGTTATTCTTGAATTTGAATTTAATTCTTTCACTGTTTTGCGCGAAATGCAATTTAATTTGACGTTCTAAATGCATGCGCGCCGGACCATGCCGGGTGGAGGCAAGTGCATGGTGACCCAAGGATAGCAGATGGCTCTATCCAAAGGACGTCACGTGATGCGACCGATCCGGTGCCACATTCTTTTCTTCACGTGGTTGAGGTTGCTCAGTGTAGCTCGGCGTACGAAATGGAGTTGAGCCACTGAAGATGTTCAGGATTCGGCGTCGCTGAGCAGCGATTCTGGAATGTGTCGAGCTTGTAGTAGCTGGCTGTAGTGATCTTTATGGCTCGCAGCCATACAGCAGTGTGCCAGTCAATATGTTAGTCTTGAAGAAGCGCAGTTTGTCTCTTTTGGTTTTTATGCAGGACCGTTTAGGACCCAATTTACTCAAATTCCTAAGCAGCAAGGTTAAAATGTCTCCAGTACAAAGACGGCTTAATCCGCTTAGAAATTATTAGAAAACTGATAGAATCTGCCAGGAATTTCAACGCCATCGTAGAAGAAATTTCCTCCGAGTGGCCGAGAGAGGAACGAATCGTATGTACAGAGCTGTATGGCTTATTAGAATCACTGAAAGTCTTAAGAAGAAATACTCTGTTTCACTGTCATTTCTAAACGGTGCAAGTGTTTCCAGGAACCCTGATACTTGCCTAAATTATAGAGTTAACAGGAAGCAAGGAAGTTCTAACATTTAGTTCATGGGCTCCTGGTGTTACATAGTCCAACTAATGACTACATTAACTTCTCCCTTCAGTTATTTGGGTAGCAAGTGAGAACTTTATTTAAGTGTCAATGTATTTAGCCCATGTGGGCTAATTGGGGACACCGTATTAACTCTACCTAAAAATTTTCATTAATAGTATTATAAAATTCTCTTAGGTGTCTTATTACCTTGGTTGTGGTCGCTGGAACTGATGTTTGTGTTGTCATATTTTAAAACCGGATTTCAAGGGTGTGCTTCTTATCTTAAAATATACAAATGAACAGCTTTGTCAGATTGTAAAGGACGGTCTTTAAATGTCTAGCCCATACCATGCACTCCACCCAAGCCTTACGTTAGTTTCTAAAGAAATTGTTTTTCTTCGTCGGAGTGTAACACTTATCGATATTTGAACATTAGCTTGAAGTTTGTTATGAAGCTCGATAATTTTTATAGAATTGAGTTCTTTTTAGTTCGTTATCACCGTTTATTTATTATTTTGTAGTTACCACGTTGGTCTTGTGATTTTATGGCCTGCCTGCCCACACAGTGAGTCCTCTGACGTCAAGTTGTTTATCTTAGTTTATCAAGAACACTTAAGCTCCGAGCAATACACCAAAGATGGTCATGTTTGGGTTTGACTACTGGCCTTGGTCTGAGTCTCCCACAAAGATCCTGTTTAGGTTTCTTGTTCTCTAAACTTTAGTTTCTATTGGTTGTTTCAAGATCTGTGTAGTTCGCTTCTGAGTCGCGTGATAGTTTTAGGGTTAGTATTCCAAAGGAGTGTTCAATCCTCCAATCGATCCTCCAAGGTCAGTTCGTCCCGTGTGGCCCACACATAGCTACTGATAGGCTGTTAAGGTATCAGTAAGGGGAAAATTTGCCATTTTGCACAATTTTACTTTTTTAAGCGGTTGGATAAATCTTAAGGTAATCTTTAAGATAAAAAAACTCAACAAAAAAATATTATATCTGCCGCTAGTTATTGCGCGAGAAAGATTTTTTGCATATTAATTACTTAATTGAGAGTTGACAAGTTCTGTCAAATGAACTA